TTTTTGAAAGTAAAACGTGCATAACTTTTACATACCACAACCAATTGGTCTCCTTTAGTGGTGCCAAGTTAAACTTTAGAAAAAGGGGGGAGGGGGAGGGTAAACACATGTTATATCCTTCATGGTATTTAAATGAAAGGTCTCATCGAAATAAATTGGTTTGTACAAACTATAACTTTCCCGTGCGACTCTTTTTCGAGATCAGTGAGCGACGGGGCCTGAGGGGGGGGGGGGGTTAAAAATTAATTTTATCTCTCATTGTATTCTAATTAAAGATCTCAACGAAAGGAACAGTTTTCTACAAACTACTGCCCTTCTGTCTGTCCTCTTATCAAAGTACGGGGTGGAGGGGAAAGGGGGGGGGAAGTGGAACCAGTTTTCATGGTTCTCTAATGAAAGGTCTCAACGAAAGGAATTAATTTATACTAACCATAGTCTTCCTCCTCGATCCCTTGTCGTGATCGGTTATAATTCCTTATATCTTAAGAGTGAATTGTCAAAGGAAAGTATCTACAAAGAGCGATTGGGACGTTTGGAAGAAATATAACCCATTGGCATTTAAAATAAATTTGATACATAGCAGTTGGAATAAAACCAAATTTTAGGGGGTCGATTTTTTGCCGTACGGGGGGTCGATTTTTGGCCGTACGTTTCCTTAAAACGTATACGTATTCGTAAAGAAACGTATATTTGCAATTTTTGACCATACGTTTATATTGCGTATACGTTCAATTGTGTTCGTTTTTCTGCGAGCGGGTAAATGGCGTTCGCAAACGCTCGCAACTGACGTTTTGTGGGTTATGTATTGGTTAGTGTTGAAGTTTTGACTCTTGAGACTTGAGAGGTATCTACTTACAACAATGGATGAAGCTGTGAATGTGTTTGTAATAGACAATTTAGAGAATGCCGAACGCAATTACCGCCCGAATAGGAACCGTAATCCTTGCAACCCCATAGAAGTCTTAAATGAAGCACAATTTATCAAAATGTATCAGCTACTTCTTTCCATGAGTCTTGCATTTTCTTGCACGTCAAAGTCGTAGTTTGTTTCCCTGCTATTATATCGGGGTGGTTTTTTGCAAACTCTACAAGCCACCTTTTTTGGTTTTGCGTGGTATTGCACCCTCGCTTTGGCGTGTCCATCGTGTTTTCAGTATTCATGCTAATCAGTGCCTAAAATATTATTATTCTTTAATTTGAAATGACTGAGCAATATCTTCACCTCACCACCTAAGCTCAAACCAAACGTCAATAGTCAATAAAGGCAACGTTGTCACATGCACTGTACGTTTCGGTTCCAGGCAGTTACGAACAGTAGTCAAAAATTGCATTTGGAAAACGTATACGTTTTTAAGTCTTCGCATCTAAGCGTATACGAATAGATGCGACTGGTTTCAAAAATCGACCCCCAGTTCCAAAATTTCGATTTGCGCATGCGCAGTGCCAACTTTCTTATTTATGGAAGAAATTTCGTAGGGGTTAAAAAAATGCGCTTTACCTGCACAAGGGTTGTGCACAATTTCTACTTGTTTGTAATTGGATGAACGTCACTGTATAGCGTTGTCCCTCAACCCATTTTCTAACACTGATATGGAAAAATATCAATGCGTGAAAGTTTTCCAGTCACAAATGACGCTTTTATTTTTCTCAAAAACTATTAATTTTGGATCTATTGTGTTATAAGGTGAGAGCAACAAAATTTTGATTCAGAGAAGGCCGTGGAAATGTTACACCACGTCTAATATTAGCTTTAAGTAGGTATTCGCCAGGAGAGAATGCCGGCTACAGGCATCCGGTTTCTCGTCGTGCTCAAAGGCGCCTCGCGATAAATATTCGCTCTGTTTGTACGCCGTTTATACGTTATTTCTACCGCGTTCGAGAAAAATCAAAATCTCATATTTTGTAATAGTCTATTTCCATACTGTAGTTGATTTTTGAATAACATCCAGCAGCGTGGCGTTCGTTGGCGTTTCTTCCTATCTGCTAAAATGCAATGTATTACAATAAAGGAAAATGCTGAATGTGCTTGCGGGCTTGCCTCATTCCGCCCAGAAAATTACCTTTGAGGCAGCCTCGCGAAGCACGCCTGACAAGGCTGCCGCGTAAGGTTGATACGCGTCTTTAGATCTACTTACTTGTGCAGTAAATCTACTCTTGTCACAGACACACGTCTATAGCTCTATCTCTTTCAGGGACATCTCTGAATAAATATTGTGTTGCTCACTCAATATTAAAAATTTTAAAATAAGATACAGAATACGAAAAGTTAATAAAAAAAAGATTCATATCATTTAAAATAACAAAGTTATGGTCAACTTCCGATACACGCGGAAGATGGCGAATCTTGATAATATTCTCGTTTGATTTGAAAATTATTCTATTAGTTACTTCTCTATGCTAAGTTGATCAGTCTAGGGAGCTGATGGCAAATGTTTGGTTTTGTGGAATTTGGTTAGTTTTTCTTTCTGTCTGCGCATGCAATCCCCACACAGGAAGTTATGTCTCTTGGCTATCCACTATAGGTAGTCAACATTCTTGCGCCCCTCGTTCCTCATGTGTGTACAATGCCTACGTTCATCTGCACTAAGTCCAAGGCATTTGATTGTGATACAGCCTATACAATTAGTTAGTGGCTTCTCTCCAAACTGTTCCTGAAACTCCATGTTACTAATTGTCAAAACGTGAACAACGCCGACTAGCGGTTTTCTTTATCAAGTTTTTTTATTACTATCATACAGTCTGAACACTGCAACTTGACTTTTTACATAAAATTTGTTGTGATGTTGTTCATACAGACGTTTATAAATGTACGTTTTTCGTATTATCTAACTAACGTAGCAGAATAGGTGGAACTCATTTTGCACTGCTACATACTTTCAGATGATGGTTTAGAAAAATTAATAAAAATAGAGTCGGTCCAACCAACTATAACAACTTCATCATCAATTTCTACAAATTTAAATAGTATAGCAACAACATCGACCGATTTAGAGGCATCCATTAAACCTCTTGCTATCGAAAAAAGTAGCAGCATCATAATGAATGTGGATGATTCGGTCACAACGTCGCAACCAAAAACCACCCTAAGCACCACGCTCACGAATGTGCAACTTCAAAATAGCCCAAGGCTGGCTCCATCTAAAAAACTTTTAAGTACTCCGACTTTGGTACGCCAAAAAGTATCGACATTCCAGCAACGCCAAACTATCCAACGACCTGCCTTGGCGAAACCAGTTCCGACAGCTATCATACATAAAGTCTCATCGAATCGAAACAAATCGGCAATTTCACGAAGTTTTCACGAACCTGGTTTAACTACTGTGAAAAGAAGTGCGCCGATATCCACTTACAGACCAGCGAATGTTGCAAGGCGAATAGGCAATACGACTATTTACAAAACGGAAAAGTCGCCACCAGTTCCAACTGTGAAAAGGCTACCTCCTACACCATTTAAATCTCCTATCCAGCGCACTATGAAACCAACTACAGTATCTTCGATTCAAACACAGCCCACTTCCAAGGCGGTAGCGGCGAGCGTCTCGCCCACTGTAATCAATATGCCGCTACTAACACCCGACGACGAAACGTCTGCAATTGCAGGACGCAGCACCGACACCACGATAACGGAAGTTCCCACATTGACCTCTCTAGCAACCGATACCGAAGTGTCCGAGCTATCCACATTAAATTTGTCAGATTCGGAAACGCCCTTATTAATCACCGGCGACGACGGTACGATTTATCAGGTCGCCGGTCAGAACGAGGAGGGACAAACGATTTTAATCAGCGAGGGTCCGGACGGCCAACAGCAATGCGTTATCGTCTCCTCGGAGGTCTCGAGTGACGAGATTCCCGCCGTCATGCAAGACACGGCGCCCGAACCGGAACAGATGGAGGTGGATCAACCTCTCTCGATTAATACCCAGTCCGAAGTTGAAGACGAAAGTGGAGAGTCGGAGGAGTCGCACGTTGTCGCTCAGATTATCAAAGCCGATCCACCTAGCCCTGGTATGTACTTTTCATTTACATTTACTGCAGTTTTGTTACTTGGGTGGCTCAACGATTCAAGGGGGATAAGATAATTTGAATTGCCAATTTAGACAAAAATTAAAGTGAACGTAACAGGCTCACTGAGAACTCAGGGACGTGGAATATCGGAAATATCAAACTATGGCGCCATTTAGAGGTAAGATCATTCATCGAGGGTACCTGATGCTTTAATTGGCGGCGGTTTCCGGCCTCCTGTACAAATAATTAGGTAATAAAAGTACTTTATTTTATAGCAAGTGGTAAATTGAGATTTTGATAGGTTTCAATGAGTAGGCTAAGTCTCTCTTTAACAGTAAGCTGCATTCAAACCTCCCAATTAATGTTTATAATTAATGAGTGAAATTATTTCGTTAACTTTAAAGCCGCTTTACATTAGGCAATTTTCGTGCAATGCAAGAGCAATGCAAGTTAGAGATACGTTACTGCGCATGTTCATACGCAATTCAGGTGCAAGAAAATAAATAGAGAAAGTTCTATTTCACTTGCAAGTTTGGCGCAAGTTCTAGTAACTTTTCTAGTAATTTTGTCAATACCACAATTTATTTGGTTTCGCGTGTGTTATTTTGTGTGTTTTTTTAATAGCAAGCGCCACCACATAACAAGCTGTAGCCAGCTTAATTTCCTTTTGTTTGCTCATACCTAATGGTCAATTTTATTAAGTTGCAAGAATAACCTTCTGTGTAAACAAACTGAAAAGTTTCAATTTTTGAAAAATATGTTGTCAGTACTGCAACACTTTTCTAAACTTGCACAAAAGTTGCAACACAATTGCATAAATGTAAAACCGTAAAAGCAATGCAAGGCAATTTTAGATTGCATAGCACAAGCCTTGCATTGCACTAAAATTGCCTATGTACAAGCGGCTTTTACGCAAAGCAATCATTCGCAATGCCTGAAATTAATACGTGAAATTAATGTCTAAGCAGTGTCGCCACCTATGTACCGGCGAGGCAATTGGTTAATTGTTTATACAACAAGTTTCAACATAACCTTGTAGCGCAAGCACAAGAATCAGTGTTTGTGTTAATAAGTGTCTTTTAACTATAACTAGCCTTATCCTAAAGTGGCAAGATACTTTTTTCTGTTCGCCACATTCATTGTATATGTAAACAAAATCAAAACAAACAAAACAGGGTTATGTCGGCTGTCATATAAAAGCACGCATGCGTACCTCTGTTCATTTCCGTAAAATTAAGCGACAAAGTTTGCAGTTTGCAAACTTCTGCGTTAAGTATTAATTTCGACGATTAATTTTCTATATTGTGAATGTTACCCTTAAAATACATAGCTTTAAACATTTACGTTAA